CTTCCATAACACTTGATTTAATTTAGCTTTTTGTAGCTTTTTGTGCACTTGTACAAATTGTGTTGCTTTGGTGCATTCTTTACCTCATAGCACCTCGAAAACATAATTCACTTTTCGCATCCTGCCCACTTGAAGAGTGCCCACCGATTGGAAGAGGAAATTATCGGATACTAGATAGTACACTAACAAACATCAATCAGCCGTAACGTAACGTCCTTAACACATTTTCTGGTGTATTTATTTATCCAGTCGTCTATACGTCTTGCGGGTTATTATGAAATTACATGAAATATACGTGATTAGAGTAAGCAATTTAATATTCACAGTTGAATCACCGTGAAAGGTACCTGCTATTTGTTGCAGTTTCATAAGATACTACTGAAATTTCTTAAAATATGAGATGTACGTTATCAGTTTATTTGGCTTAGTGACCACACTTTATATTATTTATGGTAAAGTAACACATGTTTTCAATATTTTATAAAACATTGAATCACCTTACAAATGCTATTAAGCTATGAGAAAAAGCTTCAAATATAATCTCAGCAGACATAATCTATCATGAAATATATTCTTTATTAGTGAGTAAATTCATCCTGCTATAATCAAGGCAATTTGCAGTGTGCCAGCAAATTCACGATCTGATTAAGATGCAATGCTTTCTTATGTAGGCGCTGGCAAAAGTAAAAAAATTAAAAAAAACATAACACATGGCATTGCTCCTTATATTAGAAATCCATCCCTATGTTCTATTTATAAAAAACTTTTACGTTTTATTATTCTAGAACGATATACATGCTTTTCTTTTAAGCTTATTTCGAGATTCTTTATAGCGAACTGGATGTAGAGTTTACTATCATAAAATTCACTATCGAACGCGAATATTTAACTTTTACCCACTAGTCTTTGTCCCACTCTTATTTCATAATTAGGCATTACAAGGTGAATAATAGACGTCACTAAAATTTACTAGGGCTCTTGATAGTCTAAAGGAAATTACATTTTATCACTCATTCAATTCTATAATTCTAGTAACCATTATAATCCCATATAAAAATTAATTTTCTTTAGCATGTATGAAAGAAACTATTTATCTCAGCGATGTGCACCTGGCAATGCCAAATTCCAAAGAATCAGGATCACTGGCTAATGGAAGGGGCAGCCTTGAACCAATCTTGAGACCTTCTGAGACGAAAATCGTTTCCATCTGTCTAGGAAAACGTGGTGAATTGTCATTTATATCAACGAGACGTACAATAAGACTGAAGAATTGGCTCTCTTCATTGCCACCACCACCACCATCACCACCATCACTACTTCTAGCACCAACTCCATCAACTTCATCGTTGCTACTGCTATTTTGTACATGTTGCAGTATTATTCTGCCTTCGTCATTATCCTTCCGGTTCCTAGGCTTGCCACGGCCATTGGACTCTAAGCGAACCAACAAAGTCATTGGAAGATTGCATTCCATACGACTAGCGGTACAGCAATCGACAGTTTGTTGTGGTAGCCCTGGTCTAGTACAAATTGCTTCTCGATCAACAGCCTGCTGT